CCCCCCAAGGGGGTACCGATTCCCCCCTGTTCAACGGTCGAAATATTTGAATTTTACACTTAGGGAACCGATTCCCTATGATAGGGAACCGATTCCCCCCACTGTCCAAGCTGTTTTATTAAATGTTTTCACACTAAAACGGCTATAATATCTTCTCTAATTATCCCCAACGTTCAGAAGTGATTCAAGGTGTATTTAAGCAAGCTTAGAAGCCATTGATCAACAACAAGAAACATCAAGCAACTAGAATCAAGAGAGAATCAAAGAGAAAGCATCAAACCTCAAGTTTGAGCATTTCAAGCCCATTTTCATTCAATATTCATTTTGCTTTCAAGAACACTTTTTGTGCTCAATTGTATTCATCTTTGAGTGTTCTTTTCTTTGTTCTAGAATTGTGCAAACATCTTACCTTGTGAGGTTTTCTTGTAAGTTTGCAAATTTGTAATCTTCTCTTTGAGAAAAGAGTGTTCTCAAGAGTTGGGGTATACTCTTGAGGGAATTGTAAGGTTATCTCTTTGGCCTCAAAAGAAAGAACAAATTAGTGAATTTGTTGGAAAATCCTTAGTGTGGATAGCTAAGGTAGTGGACGTAGACTTTGTTTGAGAAAGTCGAACCACTGTAAATCGATGTGCAATTGCTTTCAATTTTCTGCAAAAGCTTCCACAAAATTTTTATTGCCAATTCACCCCCCTCTTGGCCAATTTCGTCATTCGATTAACTCAACATATATTTAGTGTGATTTATTCATTATTGCATCATTTACATAATTTTAGCAATATGACCAATTTTGCCATGTCACATTAATTATGAATATTGATTATGGAACTAATGGCTAACATTTCTCTTGCTTGTGATCTTAGCAGCTTAAACTATATATAATCAATTGGATAAATAATTTCAAAACCTTGTTTAAATTCTTTAAAATGTCTTTTTGATTTAACAAAAAGGGGGGGAGAAGTTTTAAATGTGTTTTAAATGATAAATGAGAGAAGTGTTAAAGTAAGGGGGAGTAATTTCAAAACTTGATTTCAAAATCTTAAAATTACTAAAATGTTTTGTTATATCAAAAAGGGGGAGATTGTTGAAAACATTTTGATATTTCGATATAACAAATTAAGTTAAATGAATTTTAAGATTTTCCAAATGATTTTCTAAGTATATTCGATATAACTATTCGAATATCAAAACATTACTCCAAATCTTTCAAAAAATCATTTTTAATCCTTACTCAAGTGTAAAATTAAGTTTTAATCTTAAAATAATTTCAAAATAATTTTACAAAGTATTTCGAACTATTTCAAAGCCAAAAATTCCAGATTGCTCAGAGGGAACCAATTCCCCCCCAAGGGGGTACCGATTCCCCCTGAATGGTTTGGCTCCGAGAATTCCAGTATGCTCGGAGGGAACCGATTCCCCCCCAAGGGGTACCGATTCCCCCCTTGTATAACGGTCGAAATATTTGAATTTTACACTTAGGGAACCGATTCCCCATAGGGGGTACCGATTCCCCCCACGCTCCAAGCTGTTTTATTAATTGTTTTCACACTAAAACGGCTATATGATCTTCACTAATCATCCCGAACGTTCAAAAGTGATTCAAGGTGTATTTAAACAAGTTCTGAAGCATTTGATCAATAAGAAATCATAGAGAAACAAGAGAGAAAGCATCAAACACCAAGTTTGTGCAAATCAAGCTAATTTTCCTTTCAATATTCATTTTTCTTTCAAAGAACACCATTTGTGTTCATTTGTAATTATTTGTGAGTGTTCTTTTCTTGTTCTAGAATTGTGCAAACATCTTACCTTGTGAGGTTTTCCTTGTAAGTTTGCAAATTTGTGTATTTCTCTTTGAAAAAGAGTGTGCTCAAGAATTTGGGGTATAATTCTTGAGGGAGCTGTAAGGTTACTCTTTGTCCTCAAAAGAAAGAACAAATTAGTGAATTTGTTGGAAAATCTTTAGTGTGGATAGCTAAGGGAGTGGACGTACACTTTGGTTGATAAAGTCGAATCACTCTAAATCGCTGTGCAATTACTTTCAATTTTCTGCAAAAGCTTCCACCAAAATTTTAATTGCTAATTCACCCCCTCTTGACCGATTCCGTCAATCGATTAACTCAACATTTTTTATGTTCTTTATTTTATTTAGTTTTTTATCTTTATTCTATTTTTATGTTTTTTCTTTATCTTATTTTTCTTTTTTCATTTATTTTTATTTCATTTATTTTTATTTAGTTTATTTATCTTCATTGCATTTTTTTTTCTAACATGCTTCTCGACTCTTTTAAGGGTACACTTTCGAATCCATCAGGGGTAAGTGATTGAGATTGTTATTTTTACCTTTTAATTTAAAGTTACAATCTTCTTAATTAAAGACAACTGGAAATTACGTAGTACCGAAAGGGCGGTTCAAGGGTGCTAACCCTTCCTTGACTTGTAAGTTTTTGGTATATTTTTTGGTAACTAATTGACATATTTCGATTGGGATGTATCGAAATATTGCTCTATCTTTTGGTAACTTACTAACATATTTTGATTGGGATGATTTTAACGTATTATGTTTATTAGCATGATTTTTATAATTTATTGAAATGAATAATCAATCAATAAAATGAAAATTTAATATTTTTTAAATTTTTATAATATATTGCTACATTTAAGTTATAACACAAACTAAAATTAAGCAAAAAAATAAGAAGAGCAATTCTGTCATTTTACATTACTGAAATCAAATTCATCTGACATGTCTGCGAACCAAACAAAATATGGAATTGGTTTCCAATTCAATTTCCTGCCAACCAAACAGGATTCAGATTCCAATTCTTTCACAGATTTCAATTCCCTCATAAACATTCCAATGAACCAAACGCCACCTAAGTTTAAAAATTTTCAATTTAAATACTCAACTTTCAAACTGTTCATATTTTAATCACTCTATTTTATTAATAAATTTCGTGATGTGGAATTTTTATTAATATATAACTAAAATGAAAAATATTAGATTTAAAATTTACAGTGATTAAATTATGAGTAATTTGAAAGTTAAGTAATTAAATTAAAAAAATAGTGACCAAAATAAGAGTGAGAAGATAGTTGAGTGATGAATGATGTAATTTATCCGTAAAAAGTGACATGGTGTAACAGTTCCACTAAGTTTTTAACGGCGAGGTATAAAAACGAAACAAAAAGTAAATGTTAAGTATAATTTTAAAACAAATGAAAGTTTATGTACTAAAATAAAATAAAACTGATAGTTTAAGTACTAAACTTGTAATTTATCCTAAAAAATTAAATTGCCTGTTACGTAAAGCCATCTATACCATTGACTACATTTCCAGTACTTACAATTTATTTTTTGTACCCCGATATTCACAATAAATTTTCAAAACAGGATAGAACTTCCATTGTAGGAGAAACATGCATCTCAATTGAGAAATTTGCTTATCAAGAAATATTGAAAGAATACAAAAGAAAGTCAGTGATTCTTTGAATTTAAGATATACTGAATTGAGTGATCCCAGTGAAAAAAATGAAATATTATTTTCTTTACAGAATCTAGATTCAAGTTGCGTTTGTAGTGTGTGTACATTATCAGTAAGTTAAGAAAAATTATAAATCGATACTACCTTAGATTTATAAAAGTTAACACATGAGCACTTACCATTATGTAAATGGTGGAATCTCAAGTTATCCCTTAGATAATTACCTTACCTGTGATTTGAGATGCACCACACATGAATGAGTGGCAGGCAATCTTCCCACATTCTTATATTCTTCATAATCCGAATGCCAGAGGTAGTTTCTGGCTGAGTGATTAGCATCCGTCTATTTTCTTCATCACTCACATCATAAGCAACAGAATTCATGTTTGGTTTGTACCTGATAGCCTTTAACCTATTTAGAAGATCCTCAAGCACCTGCTCAATCTCAGCATGTCCCCGGCAAAGAAACTCCTCGATGACACCCGAACTTCGCTTCCAAGTTCCAACCAGCTACATCCAGGATTCTTTTTCTCAGACCTTTCTCTATCATCAGTTTCCTTGTCAGTGAAACATCATTCCACCGCCTGGCTGAAGCGTGTATGTTAGAGAGCAAGATGTAATTACCAGTTTCATTTTGTTCCAGCTCAAATAAAATGTTTGCAGCGATCTGGGTCTATGTTGCACTGATACGGATACGGGGATGAAAAACGGTAATTTTTAAAATTACAGGGTACAAGAACGGTAAAGATACGGCATATAAAATAATTTTAATATTATAAATATATATAAAAAATCATAAGTAAATTCAAATATTAAGACTCAAACATCAATATTAAGTTTAGAACAGTAAAATCCATAAACAAACAACAATATTAAAATATCAAATTTTAAGATTTAAACTATAATATTAACTCTAGAATAATAAAATCATAATATTAAAGTATCAAATCTTAAGACTCAAACCATAATATTAAGTCTAGAAAAATAGGAAACCCAAATCAAATATTATTAACATCTTCCGAGATTAATTGGCTCTCTAAATCAGACTCATCAAGCGAGAGTTCGACATCTAAATATCCAACATCTCCCAATAAATCAAAAACATCTCCACCAACATCCCACATCTTAGTTTTCTCATCCTCATATTAAATAGAACTCATTGATAAAAGATAAAGATTGTAATAGATGTAAACTAAATCTTGGTTAGTTATTTTAATAAAGGTACTTTAAATATTTAAATGAAAAAAATATTTTAGTTAGTTATTTTTTATATATTTTTTTCTAAAATTTCAAATTACAATTGAGTTCCCAATTTTTAAAATATTACAGTGTTAACAATATCAACCCAATTAGAACTCAATTACGGATCAATGAATCATAGTGAGTGATATTGATTGGTGATAAAACTAGTACTTTCTAGATTTTGTACTGCTTTGGTATTTTAAAAAACTATTGAGGTTCTCATTTTCAAGGCAAAAAAAAGACAGTTACTCGTAAGAGATATCGGGAAAAGGAGATAAGCCACTGTGTCCGACACTTGGAGGCGCATTTGGAAAAAAATGAGAGCAACACTTCTGACATCCCATCTCCAGTCCTTCCCTTCTCCTCCGCCACTTTCTTTCAAACCCTCATTAGCTTTTCAGGAAACCAAAAGGAAATCACCGAGCACCACCTTATTCCCAAAGGGCACTTCATCGCCTTCTTTCGCTCGATTTCCACCAAGGGTCAGCGCGAGTTCTCAAGCCGCTTCTGCAACTGAAGCAGCCAAATCGACGGCCGTGCACAGCGAAATGAAGGCTTGGGTGTATGGGGAATACGGTGGTGCTGTGATTTTTTTTTAAATGTCCTCCCCGAAACGTCCCCAGGTCTTAGTGAAACGTCCCCGACGTCATTGAGCCGTACCCTACCACCGTGACACGTCCCCGTACCGGGGACGTATTGGCTACTTGAAACGGCACAACTATGCCTTCCCCGTACTTCCTAGATCTGGGCTATATCGGGTTTAGAATTAGAGCGGCATGATCCAAGCAATGCCCACCAAAGACCCCATAGGCTCAATTGGCATTGTTTCTACAAGTTTAAGTGCGTTTTGTAGGAATCCAGGTCGACCAAGAAGATCCACCATGCAAGAATACTGATCAACTCCCGGGGAGAAATCCTGAATTTCTCCTCCATAGTTGCAAATATTTGACGACCTTGATCCATCATTTTCGAATGGCCACATGCCGGAAGTACAGCAATAAATTTAACTTTTATTAGATTTGAACCCTTTATTCACCATTTCCTGAAACAATTCCAATGCCGCACTAGCACACCATGCATAGCAAACCCTGTAATCATTGAACTATATGAACACACGTTCTTTTCCTCCTCAAAAACCTTATATGCATCCTCAACACTTCCATACTTTGAATACATATCAATAAAAGCCGATCCCACCACAAGCACAACGAGCAGGATTAATCCCCAAAGTCGACAATATACTGAATCCAGTTCGATTACTTTGCAGCACCTAGTTGCACACAATCAGAAATAACTCCAACAAAAGTAACCTCGGCTGTTTTCGTTTTGCGTTCTCTCAAACAACTCCAATGCCTCTCTAGGCTTAGCATTCTGAGCATATCTTGTAACCATCGCTGTCCATGCCAACATATCCTTCAAAGGCAACTGACCAAACAATTCTCCTGCAGATTCCATATCCCCAATTTTTGCATATGCTAAAATCAACGCTTTCCAGGAAATCAAATCTCTCTCAGGCACTTCATCAAACACCTTCCTCCCACACTCTAAAAGTCCTAATTTGACAATGGATTTGATGGCCCAATTCACATCAACAACCGTACTGGAAGCAGAAAATATAAAAGAAACAGGCAAATTATTCTCTTTTCTCATACAATAATAGAAAAAATCGATTGGTTAACAAACCCTAGAAAACAATATCCACGAATTAGAACAGTCTCAAAAAAATGGGTTTGGATACTTAACCTGATTAAAAATAAGCCAAATGGTAAGGCTTCGTATAAGTTCGGTGCTTGTACAGCAGCACAGTTTTGGGATAAAATTTACAAGTATTGTAGTGGACTTGCGGGAGAGAGGTACCTGTACACAATTCAAAATGCTGAAGCCGAAGTTTCCAGCTCAACCGGATGAATTAATTGAACGGTATTAGGTACGAACCAAATAAAGGATAGAAAGGAGTACGCGTCAAAGAATATACAGGCTAACCTAAGGTGACGAAGCCATGCGCTTTGAATAATGTAAATTGCCTATTTATTTATTTCTCCAACCAAACTTGGAATTGCATTTATTTAATGGTTGACCACCTTATTCTATCAAGTAATACTGTTGTTCCATTACTGAGGAAATCAATGCTATGATAAGTAAAAAAAAAAATCACATACCTTCAAATGAGCTTCTCAACTATATCAACGGCTGAAAATTGTCTTAGCACATATATAATTTACATCCCTAAAAGGAAAAGTGGAGACATAAAAATTAGGCCATAAATAACCAAAGATGTGTAACTCCATGAGAAAAAGAAAAATGCATCCTATTTTAGCCTGTACTTTGGGCCACCATTGCTATACTGATTGAAACCGGATCTAACCCCATTGTTGCGACGGGTGTCTACCTGATTTGATTTTAGATTTCTTCAACACTTCTTTCAGTACTCCAGCAATTCTCTCGGCCATGTGTGGTTCTAGAAATTTTTCTTTGACCCTTTCGTACCCTCTCTTTCCCATTGTAAGCCTCCTCTCGACATGAGTAGCAAGTCTAACGATATTTTTTGCAAGAGGTGTAACCCCAGCTTTTCCGACAGGATGTAATACACCTGTAGTCCCATTCACTACTATTTCCATGGTGCCTCCTGCAGCTGTTCCCTATATTTGCATGGCATGTGTCAGTATCAAAATCCAGCTCCAATGACTATTGCCATAGAAAATATGAGCAGTTAATGAGTTCGACATGTTTTATTTATCAAAAGCTCAGAAGTACGAGTAAAAGAAAATCAGGCAAAGTTCATAGATTACCAGTATAGGTAACTGGAATGCCATGGCCTCAATTGTTATCCGTCCAAAGCATTCTCCCCGTGCCTAAAAGCAAGGAAAAAATTTGTGATTCGCTTTATATTTAAAGTAACTTTGAAGAAGAGTACAAGCCATAGATGCAAATTTCTCTAGCCTAAGCGGATATCAGAAATTCAAAACCGTCATATGCATCAAGGAATCTACTCAAATAAATTCAGTTCTCCCTCCAGTCCATAGAAGCAAATTTCTCTAGCAATTTATTGTTCATTTTTTATTCCTTCAGAATTTTGATTATTTGGTGACTGTGACATTATGTAACTTGGAGACATCTAAGAACGACAATGGAAAAACGGACACAAAACATAACCATAATTACCATTATTTTCATGTAAGAAGTGCTACCTCTCCAAACACCAGAAAACCAATGTCATCATGTCAATTCTCAACATTTATAATTGGACTACTGGCTGAGACTTGTTATCTTGAGACATCAGTAACATCAGAAGATTCTAATGGTAAACATCCAATAGCTTCTTTATATTATAATTATACAAACAACTGAAGAAGTAACACTTACACCAACCAGAGAGCAAATTAGATTAATTTCACAGATTGGAGCGAACGTTATATTTGAAAAAGAAAATTCTTTAAACCACAGAGATTACCTGGGAATTCTGCACAAGAACATCAATGGCAGCTAAATACGGTGCGACCGTTGGAGTTTTGTTCACAAAATGAACACGATCTTGAATTTTCTTCTGCAATACGTAATCCCGTAATTCCATTTCAAATTTTGTCTGAGCAGTCATGTCACTTCCCACAATTACTGCATGCACTGGTGGCACCTGCATTTTCTTTTCCTTGATCAGTTGCAAGGCCTCGTAGAAGGAACGTAAAAAGAGATCCTGGCCTTTTCCCCGTGAAACACCTGCAGTGGAAGGAATTTGATACAACTTAGTGATAAAAAGCAGAAAACCAAACACTATTTAGTTCAAATGTTTTCCCATACTTTCTGCCTTATTTTATATGCCTCGGCATACAAAAGAAAATTGAGAAGAGGATACGTTAGAGCGAATGGGTGATTAATTAAAAACAATACAATGATAGTTAAAGGGAGAAATGGAAATTTTGGGGGGGGGGAAATGATCGATAAAACCAAACTATTGTTCTTAACTGCCAGACAAAACTCAAAATGCAGGAGTAGCTATTTGGAAGTTTATTCCAGGGGCTGTTTTTTGGTCAATTTGGAAAATGAGAAATGAGTTAATTTTTGAAGAAGGAAAACTAGACAGAATTTTACTGTTTTTCACTGTTCGTTTAAGGTTAGCCAAATGGTTTTTAGCAAAGTATCCCCTACTCTCTATTCAGGTAGACTCTCTAATTGGTGATCCCTCTTTGGCTGACAATTTTTCTGCTCCTAAGGTTATGAACAGCATTGTGTACTGCTGGATTCCTCCTCCGGTGGACTATTTTAAGATGAATGTGGATGGGGCTGTTTGCAGTGTTGGGATGATGGCTGGTATAGGAGGAATTCTCAGGGATTGGAATCGGGTTACTCTTCTTTCATTCTCTGAAAGTGTCGGGCCTACCACCCCTATTCTAGCAGAACTAAAAGCTATCAAAAAAGGCATTGACATCTTTGTTTCTTCAGATTGGGTGTTGAAGGGCAGGCTTATTATCGAATGCGACTCAAAGACAGCAGTGGATTGGATCATTAATCAAGTTTCTGCCCCTGTTTTTCTGTCTAATTTTGTTAAGGAAATTGTGGCTTCTGTTTCTTTAATTCACGTTATTGTCATGTGGATTCCTAGGAGTTGTAATTGTGAAGCTGACAAGTTAGCCAAGGAGGGAATTGGGTGATTGTAGTCATGGATTTAGTTGGTTTGTATGCTTTAGAGTAATAGTGTTTCAGGAGTGTTTTATGTCGGTAGTATTTGGCTGGAGAGTTCTTAAGTTTTATGTAAAAGTCTTTTATTTAATAAAATCATGTACTCTTTTCCTCCTTAAGCTAGTTGGTTCTTGCCTTTGGGTAAGGGCCTACTAAGAGGGAGGTTTTTAAAGAGGCATCCTATTCCTATAAAAAAAAAACTCAAAATGCAGGAGACTCAACACATAACAATTGAAGAAGCTATATGATTTTCAATTTTCTTCAGAAAGACAATATCTCAATCTCACCAAAAAATAGAATTGAGCAAGCAAAAAAACAGCATAAATAGCACCAAATTGAAATCACTCAGGACTGAGCAAATGTTACTTTCCCGGTACAAACAATTATACAATCGACAAAGCCAATTCTGACGGTTCTCTTTTTTATCAGATTGAAAGGAGGATCTCGATAAAAATAGGTGCATTACATGAAGGAAAGTGAAGGAAAAGAAGAGAAAAATCCATTCAAGATGAAAACTGAAAAGCATACTATTTATTAAGGCAAAGAGTAAATCCTCATTGAGCACTCCAAGAGATTCACGAACATGTTCACGCAGAACCCTTTTAGCCACACTGTCTTCTGCAACTTGCATTAGTTCCTTGCTATTTCCTAGGTGAACAACATAGGTATCGGGCATTTTGATCCTACAAAAAGCAAATGAATTGGAGAAGGGAAAAACACTCAAATGTGTAATTAAAAATAAGAAATGTGAAACATATGGAGTAACGGAGGAACTAAATGCACAAAAAAACTTGTTTGGGTTTTTGTTGCAATGCATGCAGAATGAACAGCAATAATTTAAAAGCAACAATAAGCACACTGAGATTGTAGACACAATGATTTTTGAAGCTTACTTCAAACGTTCTTGAGTCCTATTCTTCCAGTATTCAGCTGTAACATGTGAATCAATCATAGCACCAGCTACAAAAGGAAGATGCTTTACATAGTCTAATTTGAAGTAATGACCTCGCATTTCATGGATCCACCACAACACCTTAGGCAAAACACGATGAACGTCTTCTTTAAGAACAACATCCAGCCATTTCCCAGCAACAGCAGTGTTCAAAACAACCAGATCAGCTCTTAGAGCAGTATCTAAAGCTTCTTTCCCCCTAGCCCGGAAAACCTGAAAAGACAGGTGAAAGCCTAATTAGAAGAAAGGTAACTATTTACAAACAAATCATCTAAAGCCTCTCCCAGATGAAATGCTAATCCATCATATAGGGTAATATAAAGTTCACTACTATATAGTAAAAGCATCATAAATGGATAAAGAAACAATTAAACAAAGTGAAGTATTCTGAGTACCTGTACTCCTCTGTCCATCATCTTATGTTCTAAACTATATGTTACTTCATCTGTTTCAGATGCTTTCGTAATTGTAATCCAATAAACTTCGGCACCAACACTTCTTAATAGGAATGCCAGCTCCATCAGCAACAGTGGTCCACCTAGAGTAAAAAGAAAAAAGACGGGAAACATTATATGATAAAATATATGAATTCTAAAAAGCATCTTCACAAAGAAAGATTATAGTTACAAATGGCAGAAAGAATAAACTTTCTTCTGACAATAAATATGTCTTCCGGCAAAGGGTCATATATGAAAAAAGAAATTTTGTTTACGAAAGAGTAGAAAAACTACGATTTAGAGATTTCATGCTTAGACAAGGTGTGCAGTGCACTCATTGACAACTGGAAGCAAAAGACATTATTTATAACCAAAAAGTTACAAGATTCAGGGAAAAAAGATTAGTCAAGAAGAGTAACAACAAGGATTAATTAACATTGCACCACGAGATCCACAACAAGAAGATTCTATATATGCACAAACCATTTATAGAACATGTCAGCAACATGCCAAAACGACATTCTATAATTTACATGCAGAGTACTTGAGAGTTAGGAGTCAACAAGAATCTCAGAATTTATTATGATATAATTATTTTCATCTATAGGAAACAAAGGATGGGTCATAACTAGCATGTCAACAGAGCCTCAAAAAGTAATTAAACCTCAAAGATACCAGCACACACGTGGAATGCTTTTTACTGAGTGTCAAAATAGCAAAATTGATAAGGGGATTAAGTTAAGACACAAAAGGCCATAATGAACCTACATAGTTTCTCTTTTTCATACTTTAGGATGAAACTAAAGTTACTAAACGTGATATGAGAATGTGCAGATATCCTCACGTAAACTAAAGAAACTTATAGCAAATGATATGCTGACAATGACAGCCATGATATTAAATCTGACATTCGACAAATAGTAATGAATGCGTATGCAAATACATCAATTAATTACTTGAATTGAAAAAACCAGCAGAAATGGCTTTAAAAATTTTGGGCATGGCTAGAACAGGACACTAACTGAAAGAAACCAAGCACTTCCTCTGTTTGTTCCTCTATACGATAATAAAACTCATTTATATGTGTCCACGGATCAGTTACAACCGTGCAAGGGCATCCCATACAAGATGCAGACAGCTACCTCAAAACTACTGAACATAAATTCGGTTCATTTGCAATTATACTTCAATGGAAACAATCATACAGTAAATAAACCCTACTAAGTCACTCGACAATAAAAGGAAGGCAACTAAAACCAAAATTCCAATACATTGAAATTCAACCAAAATATCATGAATTCCAAAGCGACTGAACACACTAAAGATAGCTATTAACAGAAATAAAAACAAGGAGAGTACCAGAAAGCGAGAGCTCGTGCGACACCAGCAGAACGACCTTCGACTTCATGAAACTGAGCGGACTCGGCTTTGCAGCAGCGATCTGCGGTGTTCGTTTCTCGGAGGCTTGAATGACATGCCGAGCAGAGCCGATACCACCAACAGCAGCAGAAACATCCTGATCACACGAATCGAAGGCAGCTCTCACGAAGAAGGCAATAACCGTTGAAACAGAAAGCATTAGTAGAAGAACCAAAAGCCAGCGGTTCTGTAAGTGGTGGTTGCCCCAGCCAACGGCGGCGTGCTTCGCCATCGTCCTCTTCTCTTCGGTCTAGGGTTAGGATTAGACAGTGATAGATCGGGTAATGCTACGTTTGGCATCTGAGGGGTTTGTTTGTTGGCAAAATCTAGCAGCTGAAGGTGTACATTTGGCGGTGTATTAGTGAAGGATTAAGATTATTAATCCCTTTTTCTTGAAGATCTTATTATTAGGTTAAATTTAATAAATAGTCACTAATTTTTTAAGTCTTCTCGTATTTTGGTTACTTATATTTTAAAACGTGCAATATCATCATTAATTTTTTAGTTCGCTTTCATTACCATTACTATCATCAAATATCGTTAAGAAATATTAGCGTGACGTGTTAAATTTATTTTTCACAATAAAACTCTAATAATATTAAAATTCTCTTTTATCGTTAAAATTATTTTATGAATTTAAGTTTTAGAGCTTACATAATCATAAATTTTTATAATAATTAAAATATATTATATCTTGATTAACATGTTCTATACATGTTAAATCTTTCCTTTTTATATGTGTGAAAAGAAAAAATATACGTGCTTTTTTCCTCTATACTATTAGACTGACATGTCTATACTAGAAAGATTGAAGATTGTTATGCTATATATCCAAAGAGCGTAAATATTTTATTGTCTATGTTGAACGCCGATTTCTTAAGATAAAAATGTATTATGTCAAGCATCTAAAAGCATTTATAGTGACGGTATGATGTCTTAACTATAAAAGATTATCAGTGTGAATAAAAGATTACCAGATAATAGGATTACTAGGAATGTTGTATTTTGTGTTTGGTTGGTTTAGCAGGAATGTAAGATTATCGTGTTTGGTTAAAAGAATAAAACATTATTGGAATGTATATTTAATCAAATTGTCTTTATTATATATTTGCATAATATTACAAATTGTAATATTTATATATTTCTTTAAAAAATTAAATTCATAATATTTATATAATTTTTTTACAAAATTAAAAATATAAAAAATGTTTAATGAAAGGGTAATTTTTTTTAATTACTGAACTTCATATAAAATTTTAATTATAGATTTTTTTTGTAAATCTAAAATAATTTAAGGATAAATTTGTAATTTAACCTTCGTAGAATTTTTATTATTCAATGACAAAAGAATGATATTTTTGAAAAAAATAAAAATTTAAGGGCATTTTAGTCCAAACGCGGTATGTTACAATACATAAGGGAAGGGAGGTATGATTCTGTAATATACCCCAAAAAATTTACTATTGGTAATAAAACATTACCGGGAATGAGATTCCCGGCCAACCAAACATGGGAATGTGGGATTCTCATCCCATGAGAATCCCACAATCCTTGAACCAAACACCACCTAAGGGTTGTTTCGTTCAAGGAATGTGGGATTCTCATGGAAATGGAAATGGAAATGGAATCCATATTTTCATGTTTAGTTGGTTGGGAACCTCATTATCAGTAATGTTTTATTACCAATAGTAGATCTTTTTGAATATATTACCGGGAATGTAATTACCTCCATTTTCTTACGTATTGTTGGATTACCGGCGTTTTAGACTAAAATGCCCTTAATTTTCTTTCTTCAAAAATATCATTTTTCTGTCATTGAATATTAAAAAATCTACGAAGATTAAATTACAAATTTATCCTTAAACTATTTTAGATTTACAAAAAAAATCTATAATTAAAATTTTATATGAAGTTCAAGAGTTAAAAATAAAATTTTATCCTTTCATTAAAACTTTTTATATTTTTAATTTTGTAAAAAAATATAAATTTTATGAATTTAATTTTTTTTAAATAAAATATATAAATATTTTTCAACTTGTTAAAAAAACAAATATATAATAAGGACAATTTGGTCAAATATACATTCCAATAATTTTTTATTCCTTTAACCAAACATGGTAATCTTGCATTCTTGCTAAACCAATCAAACACAAAATACAACATTCAGTAATCATATTCCCTGGTAATCTTGCATTCTCACTGGTAATCTTACATTCCATGAATTAAACACACCCTAAGGGGGTGTTTGGATGAGGGAATGTGTGATTCCCATAGGAATGGAATCTACATTCCCCCGTTTGGTTAGCCCGGTAATCTCATTCCCGGTAATGTAAGATTACCAATAGTGGATTTTTTGGGGTATATTATCGGGAATGTCATTACCTCACTTTCCTTAGGTATTGTTGGATTCCCGGTATTTTGGACTAAAATGCCCTTAATTTTTTTTAAAATATCATTTTTCTGTCATTGAATAATAAAAATTCTACGAAGGTTAAATTACAAATTTATCCTTAAACTATTTTAGATTTACAAAAAAAATCTATAATTAAAATTTTATATGAAGTTCAGAGGTTAAAATAAAATTTCACCCTTTCATTAAACCTTTTTATATTTTCAATTTTGTAAAAAAAATTATATAAATTTTATGAATTTAAATTTTTTAAAGAAAATATAAAAATATTTTCCAACTTGTTAAAAAAACAAATATATAATAAGAACAATTTGGTCAAATATACATTCTAATAATCTTTTATTACTTTAACCAAACATGATAATCTTACATTCCTGCTAAGCCAACCAAACACAAAATACAACATTCTCAGTAATCCTATTCCCTGATAATCTTACATTCCCACTGGTAATCTTCCATTCCGTAAACCAAACGCACCCTAAGGGTATGTTATTATAATATATGTTTGATTCACGAAATATAAAATTACTTTTAGGAATAGGATTTTCGGAATATGACATTACTTATAGTATTATTGGGAATGTTACATTACCTTGTTTGATTTATTTGACAATAATATAAGATAACAATGTTTAGTTGATTGAATATATGATTATCTTAATGTATATTTTACCAACTTGTCCTTATGATTTTTTTTTTTTTTTTGTTCTTTGGGCACAAGAATTATCATCTCTCCTTCATTTTAAACATCACGGAAGGTTTCAGGGTTTATTTGCGTGTCAAGGAGATCCTCGTATCACTCATCTTTTTTATATCGATGATTGTCTGATGTTTCTCTGGTATTTTGATTCCAAATTTCAGAGAGTTTGCGCAGTGCTTGATTCATATGAGATTTTTTTTAGGCAAAAGGTGAATTATGCAAAATCCAGCATTTTTTTCAGTCCCTATAATCCTTTGGCTCTGATGCGATTGTGTTGTTGTGCGAGACTGGTCTGGCTCTGTCACGGCTGGTCGTGTCCTTCCTCTGCCCAGGTTGCGAGCTGTTAGTATCATCGAAGCATGTGCTCTTTGTCATGCAGTTCGGATGGCGATCGAGATGGAATTCCCATGTACTGTAGTAATTAAAGAGTGTCTGTCGTCGTGATTCTAATGACGCAATACATGCTCTCTGGCTAACTATATTTCTATGACTGCAATTCCTCTATATTTTAATGTTGATGTTGTTTCTCCTGTATTTTACTCTTATTGCTACTGGAGTAATTTTTAATTAATGCAGATATGATTTACATTCAAAATATATATATAGAAATTTACTGTAATAGCTCAATTTTATTTGTTTTAATAAATAATTATTATTAAAAATCATTGATCTCTTAATTCTCAAGTAAAAATATTATTATTTTAAATAAATATAAATAATTGAAAAACAAAAATATAATTTTATCTAAATTATTTAAAAAGAATACTGTGTTTATTGAAAAGAGTTAATTTCACCATGCATCCTCAAACTATGCCCTTCCTTTTAAATTGATTCTTAAAGCTTTAAATATTTTGGTCGTCAACCTATCACGATTTCATAGGGGGTTTTGGTCATCGAGGGGAGGGGAGGTCGGGTAGAGCTTCTTCAATGGAAAAGGGAGACTATCGGCGTGAGTTTAAGGGTTGAAATGAAGGTTTTTAAAGTTTAAGGGTTATTTTGAAATTTATGTGTTTTTTTTTAAAATATATCCTTTTATTTTTTAAAATTTATATTAAAATTTTAAAATTATCAGATTGTAAAATATGCGAGAATTTAATGTCGTTCATAGCCCAAATACCTAAAAAATAACATTTATAACGTTAGTAATCTGGATAACAAAAAAAAAAATAATGTAGACAGAAAAGGTATATTTTGAGCAATTATTTGGGTATTAAGCCTTAATAAAATGGGTCCATTCTATGCTTCCTATTTAATTGGTATTGCCGTCGAAATTGCATCCGAAGTGTCTTTTAAGCTTCAGGCTTCAGCATCGACACTACGGTCAAGTTCTTCTGGTATTTTCTCTGCTATTTCATACTGATTTATTCTCTGTCTTTTCCCTTTTCCTTTTTAATAATGATTGCAGAATACAAGATTCCGGATTTATAAAAAAAATACCCATAAATTTCGATTAATTTTATTCATTTGAGATCTCAATCTCAAATATTCATTTGCTTAAAAGAATCTTGCTCAAACTCCACCTTACTTTTGTTCTCTGCTATTTTTTTAGAGTTTCTGATGATAAAACTAAGCTGAAAGTCACTGAATCTCTGGCAGGACATGCTTGGTTGAATACGCGAAACAATGCGGAGTTTAAAGCGCTGTTTAAATCCTATTTTCGTAATCATAGCTGCGGCAGGTGACTTGTTTGAGTTATTGTGTGAAGTATTTTTGTCAACTAATTTTAAACTTTTTGATGCAAGTGAATCTGTTTCCTTTGCAGCTGTTCTTTCTCAATCACTTACGGTTACATCTGTTGTTGTACCAAAACCCAATTGCTACGCCCTCGATAATTCTAGCAGGCTTCTTGATTTTGTATCCTTGGTTACTTATTTTTATAATAAAATTTCGCTTACACATCTGAATGTTGGTTGGTTCTAATGAACATTTATGGCTCAAAATTTCCATATCAATGGACTTGAGTTTTTGAAACTAGTAAAATGTTTTCTCTTAAGCTATTGACTAGAGTGATTGGATCGGTGTTCCTTTTGCACATGAGGGGAAGGTAACATCATTGCCTGTTTCTAAATATAGAAAGTCTTCCATTTCTCTTTTTGAGCATATTGCATTTTTGTATTTCCGCTAATGCAGGACTCTGACTGGGTGATCCGCTTTTGCAAAGATGTGGAGAGTAGATCACAAACGGTAGTCGTTAATTTCTTGTGCTTAAATACTAAATCAATATTCTTATATTTTATTCTTTTACAAGGAAGTTCTTTGTAGAAATTGCTTTAAAAATGTTTTTAATTTGGTGAAAGTATTGATTTGCACTTTCATGCTTGCATTCTGAATATAATTCACTCCACGTGTAATGCTAATTGTCCAGGGATATGTAGATTTTGGTCGATATGATAACTATAACTACTTTGTTGCTGGATCAGGGCATGTTTATCTTGTTCAAGTAAGTCTGTTTGGTTTGAACTTTTGTTTGTGCAGTAACAACTATAAAAAGTGAAGGGGTATGCTGAATCTCCTTGCTCAAGGGGAATGAATGATATAATATTGCTGTAGGAAATTTTTTACTGTTAAAATCAATTTATTACTGTTATTTGAAGTGAATTTAAATAACAAATGTTGTAGCTGCCTCTTATCTCGTTATATGGAACTGTTGTTTGGCTCCAACTTTAACTAACTTTAATAAAAAAAATAACTTTCGCAAACTCTTGGGCTTCAGATGAAGCATCTAGAAGATACAAATACACATGATCCATTTATATTTGTAAATCATTCTGAGATTGAAATATTTCAATCATGTTTAATTTTTAACTCTGTAATGTTTATGATATTATGTGTAGATATATATATATATATATATATATATATATTATATAACCTGTTAAATCTACTTTCTCTGCGTCTACAGGAGTTTTCAATGGCGACCTGCTCAACTGTGAGCACACTTTTGACAAATGGGACGCACTGCACATGTTAGTCTATTGGCTACTGTTTTCTCTCAATTTTTTGGGAACTTGTTTGACATTACTATTCTTATAAGTTATAATTTTGTTATGGAGTCATTAATCATGTGAAATTGAACATTAGATTTCCTCATGGCTTGTGTTATGCATTAATGAATATCCTTGATTGTATTTCAGGTAAATATTATGCGGAAATTGTTTAAATGGGCAGTGTAAAGGTGTGTAAGCTCTTCATATCCAGCCTTCAAGATCTTATTCTTGTATACTAGGACTTATTTTCCCTATGTCCTTATATAAATGGGTTAAATTGATCATCACCCTGTTTACTCAATGTGTTTCCTCTGCTCAACTGGTCAAATTTTATGCAGCTATCACAACCTTTATGAACATTGCTGTGAATAAATGACGAAAACTTATACATAAAACTATGATAACTTAGTTTCTTTGCATTTGTCTGTTCCAAATTTCTTTCATTCATTTTCTTTTCGTTTTGTGTCCATACTAATTGCCAATGAATTAGTTCAAGTTTTCATTTTCTTACCCTGAATATTAGGAAGGCTTATTAATTTGGATGTTGGTTATAGGTCATCACCTGTTTTATGTTGTAATCTTAACTTCCAGTGCTTTGTTTTATATCAACTTGTAACATTTTTTTTCTTTATCTTTGTTGTTAATCTCAGGCCAACAAAGTTGCATATGCAATGTCACTTATGAATCCACTTGCAGGTATTCAAGCAGTGCTGTAACCTGTCTTTTTCATTCCTTTTCTCCAAACATATCTTTTTGAGTTGGTGCAGTATATGGAAATCATGATATATGGAGACTTATTCCTGGTGCCAAGCCACAAGACTAGTTGTTTTATTAGACAGTTGGCATCCAATTTCTTCGAATTATTAATTGATATTTGTTTTACAGTACGTATCTGAACTTCAAAAATTTTATATTTCTCAGAGTCATTGTTGACTTGGCCATTCCATGTGAGAAATCAGGCCCACGGATATTTGAGGGCTTTACTGTTGGATTTCATCCACGATCATGGGAAATTGTAAGAATTTTACATTTGATCTGGATTACTTTGATTTAAATGCCAAAACTATTTTATTCAAAAGTTCCCTTATTGTTTGAAGGTTTATAATGGTCTAACTCAGCTGGGTTTTGAAAAATCTCACCGTGATTTTAGGTATAGTATCACTATTATGAGTAGATTATCGAGTTTATCTATTCGTGTGTCACATTTTATGAATAGTTTTAATTTTTTCCGTGAACAGTTTCAGCACTGAACAACCTCAGTTACACTTTATCTGACTGCTATTGCGTCTCAATCCAATCTTGTACGAAAGCCTGTTGTCAAGGTAATCTTTCCTTTGGTTCAAGGAGTAGAAAACTATTAATTACTGGATGAATATGCTTTTTTACCTTGTCATTTTTAAATGGGACACTTCACAGATCTTTCCGGAAAATGGGCTGGAGGTTAAGATATCAGGGAGTGGGCAAATGGAAGCCGCCTACTACTTTATCTCCCTTGACTTTGCTTCTAGATTGGAGATGTATATGCAACATTTTCTTAAGCAGGTTGATGCTATTTTCAGTTATAATCTGCTGAATTACTATTTGAAATCTATTTCCCCCCTACTTTTATTCTTCAGGTGTAAAGGCCTAAATTCCCCATATGAAGTTAAAATCTCTATTCCAGTAGAGGGCTACGAACCAATAGAGTTTGTTCTAACAAAGATGTGCGGTAAGCTCCCTGAATTTGTTTTCTTCGATGCTAGCTTTTATCAACTATCTTTTCTGTAATCAATTAAAGCATCTTCTGGTACTAGTGATTCTTTTCCATAGATCTTGTATCAGCTACTTCAAAAGTTTTTTCCCCTTGATATTTTCAGAATACACACAAAATCAGGAAGAAGGTGCCACGAGAGGGTGGGCAATATTTGGAATAATCTTGCATGTAAGGAATCTCCTTTTTTCCCCTTGTTTGTCCTACATGTGTGAAGTCATGCTAAATCAAGTATTTAAAAGGTCACTGCACCAGGTGCAGTGTTTTAAACAAGTTCCCACTATCAGATTAATTATCTTTCATTACTTCAACCATGCTATAGCATGGAGTTTGGCAGTTATGATTTGCATATTTCCTATATTTTGGGGCATCTTTGACTGCTACCGAAGATAAACGAAAGTTGAACTTTTTACTTATTTTCTGAAATTTACTGCATGTCTGAATTGCTCCCATGTTTTTCTATTAAAATAAGTTTGTCTTGGGCAGATTAATGGTGTCGTCGACACTATTTTGCTGTGTAGGGTTTATTTAAAAGACACAAATGGGCGCCAGGTGAGCTGTTTAGACTATAGTTTATTTTTCAATTTAAAAAACTTATATATCTTACTTGGAGTCTTGGATGCAGCATGGGATTGATGCACTGCCTGGCATGACAATTCTTTCTGCCTGTTTAGAGACTGTAAGTTATGTAATTTTTATGAAATAATATTACCAGAGGTTCAAAGATCTTTTCAGGCAAGTAGTAGCTTCTTTGGAGAATTCGAATCAGTACCCGTGGCTAACTTGCATAACTTACTTCCAGAGTGACCAGTTATCATGGCTTCCTAAATTAATTTTCCTTTTTTTTCCTCTTTCCATATTACAACATTCATTCCCACTTTGAGAAGTTGCAAAGTCGGCACCTTCTAAATACAATAACTTTATTTCTCCATATATCGCTTCCCCTAATCCCCTTGTGCAAAATGCTTGTGACAGGTGAGCGGAGCAGGGCATGGCTACTCGAGAGTAGAGGACGTTAACACTGGATCAGCCAGTGAGGTCTCATGGGAGCGCCCATCTAGTGCTGCTCAAGGAACATGGAAACTGAGTGAAAGCAAATATGGTTCAGTGTAAACTTTGCAGCCCTTCCCCTAAAATTGCTAATTTACCTCTCATGAATCACAGGTACAATCAATTTTGCTTCATCTATTGTAGTCTCCTGGTGTAAGCATATCTCAATTGCTGTTATTTCCGGATGTAGCATTTAGAAATTACTCCCAGGCCACGACTCATGAAAAACAGATTTTTGATGAACGGTTAGAATTAGAGCTAACGGACGTTGGGTGGCTATGTGAGGGATAGGTAAGGAAAGAGAAAATTGATGGGACAATAAAAAGGTGATGTCCGAAGGGTGTATAATTTGTAGAAGAACGATGATGATGATGACGGATGGGTAGAGACTTTGCGACGACGATAGTGAGCAAAGCTGCGATGGAGTCCGGAGGAATTGTCGGATGAGCAACAATGTTGTTGTGATATCGTAAGGGGGTGGCTGTGAAATTTAGGGCGGATGAAAAGTGAATAAAAGGTTGGACGACAGAGGAAGGAAGAATGACGACATAAAAACGATGGTGCGACCTATAGAGAACGCAAGGATAATCAACAGAGATAAAATGAAAATGAAAATGAACATTCGCACACTAAATCCATAAACTTTAACAATTTTGAAGTTGGACCACTAAATTATTGTTAAATTGTTAATAAATTATTAATAAACTAATACATTATTTAAATTAAAATGAGAAACAAATTGATAAGATATTTAAATATTGAGATTTATTTTTTTGAATTATTTTAATTTGATAGATTATGGAAGTTTCGAGACTAAAATTGTTATTATTATAATGCTATATCATCATTTTCGTTAAGTCAACGGTTAAACTTAACGGTGTATGACCAAAGAAAAAATAAAACATAATGTTTTGGGAAAAAAGAGTTGGATGACCAAAACAGAAACCAGAGAATAGACGGGGACCAAATAGGTAGATTACCCTATATTGCCAAATGAAAATTTTAAATATTTTTTGAAAGAGTAACGATAATTTTCCAAAAGTTCGGCGGCCAAGGCCCTGAACCCATCTTATATTTCACGACTGCTTGCTTTGATCGAGTCCAAATTTATCTTGAATTTGAAGCCTTACGAATTCGAGGTATACAAGTTACGAATTTTTCATGATTAAATTAGGTTGAATCCGATCAAACTTTTGGCTTCGTTGACAGGAACAGATCGCGGATCCTACTCGGGGTTAATTCGTGAGTCCGATTTAATGGCTGGCCAGTATCTTCAACTTTGCTGAGATCGCAGAGGTTGTGTGCTTTTATTCATACTACTTGCACTATAATGGAAAACACTGAACAAAAAAGTTGGAAAAATGTTTAATTACTTTTGGTTTTTAGATTGGTATTGGAAGAGCTGGAGGAAATTCACGTCTTACCCCATAGCTTTTAGGTTTTGACAAAGTATATATCATATCACGGCTTTGTCTTTACTTGTAAGGTTGAATTACATATGACGGTTATAAATGATTCACCTCTTCTTATTTAAATGTAGAGTTGTGGTTGGTGATTTGAAAAGAAATAATCTTGTATGATGTGTTTATATGTTGATGTTTAGTATCGGTGTTAGACCTAGTGTCATAATGCTACTCGTAGATTGACAGAATGAATGGATATTATCGTCTGACAGTAGATTTGATTGACTGACTACATGAATCTGTCAGACGTCATATCTAAGATTGTTGACGGAAGGATATATGCATCCGAGAATTCGATTAGATGTCTTCCAAAGTCTTAGGTTGATAGAGGATTCGACTCGCAGTGAAGATTTGAAGTACACATTGTCGATGATAACATTTAGTTGTGATGACAAAAAAAAGTCAACCTTTTTGTTCTGGACAGACAAAGGGAAGTAATGTGTCGACGAGAGTATTTGTCTTTGACTTGAAGGATAAAAGAGCATGGGGAAGAAGACCCCATTAGTCTGGTATGGAGGCTATATACTAACCCTTAGTATATGTATCAGATCTAATGTCATGATTACTCTCGTAAGTTAGTAGACTGAATGAATATGATTGTCTTACAGTAAATTTGATTTTATAGATTATGTGGGTCTATCAAAAATTATTATTGATATAGAATTACAATGAATTCGCCCAAAATTTTTATTCTAGAATACTTAGTTGACGAAGAATCTGACTCGCGAAGAAAAAATTCGATAGAGAAAATACAATTAAAATATTAAATATAGAAAATAAACTTCAATAAAAATTGTTTTGTTTAATATATGATTTGAATTTTAGTTTATTATTAAAGATTGTGATTTAATCTATTTTCCATATTATAGTATATTATTTTCTTTTCCCCTTTTAATCAAAACCAGTTTTAAATTTTGATGGATTTTTCAACTTAATCTCAAAATTTAGATCTTGTCACACATTAGTATTAATATATATAAAGTGAGGAATTAAGTTGAAAAAAAAATATTTTCTACGTCTCACTATATTTGTCCTCTTTGATTTTAAAAATTATTTCATTCAAAATGCTCTATTAAAAAATCAATAAACGACAACCGATTTCATCACAAAATTGAATGCCCCTTCATTTGGCTCTTGAATAGTTATTGATCCTTTTTCGACCCACCTCCCGACTTTCCTTCAAGGTGTGTTTGGTTGGGGGAATGTGAGATTCCTATGGGAATGAAATCCACATTTCTCCGTTTGGTTGGTCGGGAATGTCATTCCCGGTAATCTTACATTACCAATAGTGGATTTTTTGGGGTATATTATCGGGAATGTCATTACCTCTTTCCTTAGGTATTGTTGGATTACCGGCGTTTTGGACTAAAATGCCCTTAAAAAATTTCTTTCAAAAATATCCTTATTATGACATTGAATAATAAAAATTCTACGAAGTTTAAATTACAAATTTATCCTTAAACTATTTTAGATTTACAAAAAAAATCTATAGTTAAAATTTTTTATGAAGTTTAGGGGTTAAAATAAAATTTTACCCTTTCATTAAACCTTTTTAGATTTTCAATTTTGTAAAAAAAATATATAAATTTTATGAATTTAAAATTTTTAAAGAAAATATATAAATATTTTCCGACTTGTTAAAAAATAAATATATAATAAGGACAATTTGGTCAAATATACATTCCAGTAATCTTTTATTCCTTTATCCAAACATGATAATCTTACATTCCAACTAAACCAACCAAACACAAAATACAACATTCTCAGTAATCTTATTCCCTAGTAATCTTTTATTCCCACTGGTAATCTTACATTCCGTGAACCAAACACACCCTCAAAGTAATATCTATGGTCCTCTTTACATTCGAGTGAGACTTTAATGTAATGGCTTTGGTCTCCTCTTTTATTAAAAAAAATCAACAAACAACAACATTTACAGTTTTTTTACCTTTACATGTCTCACCTTTTTATATATATCAAAATAAAAATATCAAATCTATCAATAATTTTTAAAAATAATTTTGTTATTTTCCTCATTTTATATAACTTAGTATGTTACTTGATTCGTGATTAATAGAATAATTAAATATTATTTTCTCTTTCATCTAATATTTATAAGTACTAATTCTTAATATGTAAATGTTGAATAAATTCTTACATACTCGCTACTTTTGCCGATTAGACGGTCAATTAATTTAGATTAAATATTAGAGTTTTAAAATTTTCAAATTATTTTGAGATCAATTTCGTTAATTTTTTTAGATTGTTTCATCTCAAATTCACGCCATTTCATATCATTTGTTAAAATTATTTCATATTTAAATAATTTTAAATTATTATAAATCCAAGTATTATTTGTCAAAATTAACCAATCTAATTTCTGCGTAGGCAATCCTATCCCTGTTACCTCGTAAGAATATTCCAAGCCGAAGGAACAAACAGCTCACCCCAACGAAATAATTCCCACCGACGTTAACGGAACAAGAATCTGTTATCCCTGACCTTTGACCTTCTCTCACCAGGTAAAACTAACGGCTCCTAACGCCGTTCTGCTCGTTTTTTTCTTTTTTGTTTAATATAAAAATAAGTGTTTAAACTATAACTCGAAAAATGTTTGAATACTTAAAGAAATTTTCGTTAAAAATATGTATATAATGTTTTAATACTTTTAGGTGTTTGAACGTTAACAACTATTAAAAATCTCCGTTAAATGACACTTGTTACATTTTGAAAATTTTAAAATTTTTATTTAAAAAATAAAAAAATATTTTTTTTATTAAAAAGCAATTTTTTTAAAAAAAAAATCCCACCCATCCCCGTACCTTTTCCTTTCTCCCTTCCACTTCTCTGATGCCACCACCACCAACTTTGTCGGTGCCTCGTGACCCCAATCTCGACCAACAATTGAAATCAATGTTGATTGTCACAAGACAATAACAAAGCGTTCATTGCCCCCTCACAGTCGAATCTTTCTCCGGCCAGCCGTGACTATCACCGCTTAGACCTTCGTCTCACTTCGAGGAAAACTCAATCGTCCTCTCAGTGAGTATCATTGTCGTTTGTTGTGAAGGAAACTTTGAGGCTCCGGCGAAAATCCAACTGAGGTTGTTTTGTAAGTTTTAAAAATTTTGGGTTTTTTATAAATATATTAAGTTTTTTTTTAATTTTTTCCTTGTTTAAAAAATAAAATTTTTATTTAAAAAATAAAAAAATATTTTTTTTATTAAAAAGCAATTTTTTTAAAAAAAATCCCCACCCCATCCCCGTACCTTGTCCTTTCTCCCTTCCATCTTCTCTGATGCCACCACCACCAACTTTGTCGGTGCCTCGTGACCCCAATCTCGACCAACAATTGTTGAAATCAATTGTAGATCGTCACAAGACAATAACAAAGCGTTCATTGCCCCTCACAGTCGAATCTTTCTCCGGCCAGCCGTGACTATCACCGCTTATACTAATGAGAGCTTCGTCTCACTTCGAGGAAAACTCAATCGTCCTCTCGGTGAGTATCATTGTCGTGTTGTGAAGGAACTTTGAGGCTCCGGCGAAAATCCAACTGAGGTTGTTTTGTAAGTTTTAAAAATTTTGGGGTTTTTATAAATATATTAAGATTTTTTTTTAATTTTTTCCTTGTTTAAAAAATAAAATGTTTATTTATAAAAAAAATAAAAATATAATAGTTCATATTTAAAAATATAACTGAAAAAACTTTATACTCTTAATTTTAAGAAAAGGCCTTA